AAGTATAGATAAATTATACTTCAAGACATGAATTAAAAACTGTCCTAGAAAACCTTTTAGAAATCATTTATACAATGAAGTGTCTATGGATTTCATCTCTGCAGTTTATTTTATTAAGTCTTAAAATTATTTATTAGGGGAGAGGAAAAAATGTCTGTTAATTATTTATTAATTAATGGTAAAATATTGATGAGCGCTACCTAAATGTAACCGGCTTGCAGCTGGTGCACTGGATTGAAACCATACTGAAATGCAGCCAGCACAAGGGGCGTGTCTTGAAAGAGCAGAACAAATGACTTAGCAGGGGCATAAAAGGAGCAATCAGGAAAGGCTCATTTAACATAGAGATGGCACAAGATTTGAGCAATTGCCTCTACTTAAATAAGTGTGGAATTACAGTCCAACAGGGGTCCTGCAGCTTGCTCAAAGACCTTTGAAGAAATTCAGCGGTTATAAAGTCCAGCTCAGTGCAGAAGCAGTAAAATTTGGGCAGACCCCAAAAACGGCCTGCCAAGCTTTTATTAAAAGGTTAATACGAGCCTTGTCACAATTATTCTTTTGAAATGAATTATTTTCTCTCTTGTTTTTTAAAGGAGAGACGCTATGCATGGTAATTTTCAAAACTTCTTTGAAAATGCATTGCAATCAACAGGAAAAATGAAACAGTTTCATGGTAATAAGGAATTGAATGTAGGGTCTCCATGGGTTTACCAGGAAAGTGTTCCAACCCTAAGCTTCTTTGAAATGCTCTGTAAGCACTCATTAAAAGTTACTCTACTAACGGGTATGTTTCACAGAATACTTAGTGGAATTTCTTCCTTTTTTTTTTTGTACAAAAAGCAAAATTTGGTTCTAGAGACATTGGGTCTGCAAGTTGTCTGTTAGTAATGGGATAATGAACTGATTTTTCTAGGTACTTATTACGTTAAGTACAAAGGAAATAATTCTCACAAAATATAACATCTCTGCCATTTATTTATAACCCAGTTATATGTTTATAAACATTGCATATGTTTATAAAGCTTTCACTAAAATATAATCAAAATAACCTATCCTTTGCTTAGAATCTTTAGAGCAGCAAACCTCAGGGGGGAAAGTGAGGCCAATTTGGGATATAAAAGAGAATAATGAATAGATGAAGAGTAGACACGAAAGTAAATTATGCTAATTTATGTTAAAGGATGTTAATTGCTAAAGGTAGCAAAATGTGAATAAGAAAAAGAATTTACTTTTGCATCAGAAAAGTAAAACCTACTTTTTTTCTTCAGAAAATATTAAGTAATCATTCACAGACCATTAAAGAAATTATTCTATAATTGGAAAGAGTTGGTAAAGGGATCTTATAAATACTAGAAATAAGTGAATTGGAAATTTATTTCAAGAGATAATACATTTAGATTTACACTTTCCACTGACACAAGGCAAGCTTAATGAAAGGGTGTATAAATAGAAATAGTTTAAATAAGTTAGGTGTAAAAGTCAGCATGAGATTATTATGAAAAGTGTCAAATTAACAAATATGGAGCATCTACTACGAGCTGCGGTGGGGAACATAAATGTATAAGGTCCAAATAGGCCTTGATTTGAGAAAAATCTAAAAGAAATAGGTCCTTTCACAATGAAAGCAATTCAACAGTTAATGTAGATAACACTTCCTGAGTTTTTGTTTGTAAATTGTTTTTTTGCTGTCCATTAGAGCAAAATGCTGCTGAATCCAGCAGTGAGATATTTTGGTTGGCCAAATATTTGAAAACAGAAGTATATTAATAGATAGTTTGTGTTTATCTTTTTAATGGGAGGATTTGAAGTGGGAAATCAGTTAAAATATATTTAATCCTGAGTTAGAAATGAAGGGACCCTATAGTATCTGATCCAAACAGATTTTTTAAAATTTATATTCCATATTTTTGAAAATTTTTATCAAAATATAACAAATTTCAAGTCACTACCCAATAAAGTGTTGCATGAAAGGAGAGAAGGTTAGCACTCCCCTTAACAAGGATGGAAGAAGCCCTTGGGTCTTACAGCTGGCTTAGGGTTAAGGCATTGCCACCTACTTTGTTGCATCTAACCACATTTGGAACCCTGGTGGCGCAATGGTTATGAACTACGGTTGCTAACCAAAAGGTTGGCAGTTTGAATCCACCAGATGCTCCTTGGAAACCCTTAAAGTCAGTTCTGCTCTGTCCTATAGGGTGACCATGAGTCAGAATGAACTCAACAGCAACGGGTACCCAATAAAACCCATTGCTGTTCAGTCAATTCTAACTCATAGGGACTCTATGGGACAGAGTAGAACAGCTCCATAGGATTTCCAAGGCTGTAATCTCTATGGAAAAAGAGCCCTGGTGGTGCAGTGGTTAAAGGCTCAGCTGCTAACCAAAAAGTTGGTGGTTCCAACCCACCAGCCACTCTGTGGAAGATGTGGCAGTCTGCCTCTGTAAAGATTTACAGGCTTGGAAACCCTATATAGGATCACTATGAGTCGGAGTTAACTGTATGGCAATGAGTTTTGTTTTGTTTTGTTTAATCTTTATGGAAGCAGACTGACACATCTTTCTTCCACGGAGCGGCTGGTAGGTTCCAACTGCCAGCCTTTCTAAATGAAAGGTTAGAAATTCTAGCTGAGCGCTTTAACCACTGTGTCACCAGTGCTCCTTCACTACCCAATAAGACACTTCCAAATATATCTAAATAGCTTTCACACATACAGCAATCGTGTCCGTAGTATTCTTATTAAATATATTTTCTAACATATAAAAATTAAAAATACTAGATTGTTGTTTTCCTGATACTATATATTTCTATTCTTGCTAGATTTTTGTCAGAAGTCAAGACCTACTGTAATAAATCATAAATCATATCTATTTTATAATACACTATTATTATTACCTATGGATATCATGGGACTCCTTGTGCATAATGGATTCCAGTCCTCTTACAGAGTTGCATATGAAAATGTTATCAATGAACTGAAGAATCTGGTATTAATAACTTTACAACATTATAACAAATAGGTAGTCCTGATGTTTTGTTCTTTTTTTAATATATCAAATATATTTCATTGCTTACATTATAGTAGCAGATTGAAACCATCTGCTCACTTGCCACTAGTCTACCAGCAACAGAAAATCCCAGCTCCTTTTCCATAGGCTTGCATGTACCACGGCTATAATGCAGCTGCTGAGGCTTGATATGGGGCCAGATTAATACTCAAGAGCCTTTGAAATGGAAATAGTGCTTTCTTGCCAAAGATTAGAACAGTGATAGACCCCAGTTGCTTGTTCCCTTCTTTTCTGCTCTTCTTCACCATCCTCCCTAGCCCCATTAACCTGCCTCCTTCCACCACCACCCCCCATTCTCTCATTACAGCTCCATCACCTGTCGTGACGATTAAGAAGGACCAGACATCCAGAAACAGCATCTCTTTATCCTGGCAAGAACCTGAACACCCTAATGGGATCATATTGGACTACGAGGTCAAATACTATGAAAAGGTGGGGAGACAATGTTAAAGTGTCACATTGTGTAGGGAAAGAAGCAACCTTATCATGAGCTGTGCTCTTACAAAGAAACCAGTGACATTGCTAGTAAGTAAGTGGTAGAGCTCTGTTTAGAACTTTGGTGGCATGAAACAAATTTATTATGCAGAGAGGGATTTAGAAATTATCTTGTTGATTACTTCCCATTCTACAACGAGAAGCCCTAGCAAAGATGTGACTTACTAAATGTAAGCCAGCTAGTTATAATAAAAGAAATGACTCTTAGGTCCTTCCATACCAAGTCTCTTAATCTCTGGACTGTTGTGTAGAGACGCCTTAGTCTACAGTTCATTGCTTCAAGCCTTATTTCCTGGCCCTCACGTTCACATGAATTTCATTCAGTAGAGATAGGAGCATTGTACTAATAACAAAACATTGCATTATTTAACTAGCAATGAAAAGTTTTCTTGACTTTGTGCAAGGGAATTAAAAAGGAGTGGTGGGGGGGCTAAGTTTGCCTCATATCATAAAATTTTGGTACAATAATACAATTATAAAAATTAGGTACGTGTGTTTCTTTTTTTTTCAAATAAGTGGAATTTAAGCAGTGATATTTCATGAATCTAAGTGGCGCTTATTTTTCCTCATTATAAATTATGGTTAAATTTGAACCAAAGATCTATTAAAACCTTGTCATCGGAGCTGTTTGGTTTTATAACTACTAATACGAACACAACATATTTGTGTATCTGCTACAGTTTACAAAGTACTTCAAAGTAAATCAAAAACAAATTTTGAATTTATATAGTTAACATTTACGGAACATTTTCACATACATTATTTAAAATAAAGCTGTCTGATAATTCATATGAAAGTGAACAAATACGTTCTTTTACAAATAAGAAAACTCAGACTCAGTGACATTAGGTGAATTTCCCACAGCCTCTCTGCTAATATTAAGTTGTTTTGAATCCTGGGAGCCATAAGTCCTCTTTTAGTATGTTTTCCCCTATATTACCTACCTTTCACATATGACCTTGGGTCATTATGGATACATGAATTACTGATATGATTATTTGTATAAAAAGTTGCAGTGCATAAACATTCCTTTGCATTATGTATGGTTTTCTTTATTGAAGTCAGTGTATTTCACAAGTACAATGTCAATATTTTCCCATACCCACCTACAAAGGAAAGAATGTGAGGCCTAATAAACTTTGTTGTGACTAAATCATATAGTAAAAATAAGCTTTATCCTAGCTTTGAGTGACCCACGGTGGTACTGCCTAACATTTATCTTATTATGATCTTCTATTTTTAAAAGTGTGACAAGGTAGATTGGGCAAATAAGCATATTCATGTTTTATAGATAATGCAACAAAATAAGAAGAAAATTAATGTTATGCCTCAGTTCAGGCTGGATAGCAGAACCAGGAGTAGAACACCCAACCTTCAGATCTATGAGACTGATTCCAAAATACAGTTGATCTATGTTCTTATCTTGTATGAACATAAATAAAAAAAAAATTTGGAAATGTTTCAAACTCCATCAACAAAGCACATTATTATTTTTAAACAATATTAACAATACTAACTAGTACAGAAA